GCACTACAGCTTATTCATAACAATGTCTGAAGCCTTCCATCGATATCTCTGTGTACATTAGAATGTAATTATTATACATTCTGCGATCGACATGAGGTCGGTTTCACCGAGGCCGCTTTTAATACAGGATGTACAACACCTCGTTAATGATTTATTTCTAAATGATACTTGGAGTTTTTAATTATTTGCCTTACACAATTTCCTTCCTGAGTATTTATTCTGTTCATATTATATTTGCTAATCAATGGAAATTTGGAAATATCGTCCAAATACCACAGACAGTTGCTAGTTGTGGCTACCCAAATGACCATTCACGCCAATAGGCACAAGTAATAGTTGTTCAAATGTTATTTCATATACATAAAACGTTACTTAATGTAATATGTATCATATCATTTTGAAAACGGAAATCTTCTGTATCAAATAGAAATGTTATCCGTAAACCCCTCACATTTTCATAGAAATATCTCCAAAACTAGCTTTCATGGCAGATAATCCTGTATGTTTTTTTACAGAAAAGTCATTGTTAGAGATTTTCTTTATGTAGAAGTGATTGAATACTATCGTTGATCAGTCTAGACTTGACTTAGAAGATCTATCAGAATTCGGTCTTCAGGTATGACGAGATTAAGCTGAGGCCATTTTGACTAAGTTACAAAGTATATTTCTCTTTAACACTTTCACGTTTAATGAGATTATCTTTGCTCTGTCGTAAGCCAAAATTGACAACAACAAAAAAGCAGCGACACAGCATTCCTTTCCCTGTAAAGTCAATATTGGATAAGGTATCTGGTCCAACCCGAGTCGGGAAGAGACTTATGATCGATGTATTGGTTTTGGATAAATATCCCCAAGTACACGTACGTAACCTTACTTATGCTGTATATTGTATATTACGTTTCATGTAACCTTCATGTTTTTTTTCTGAATGTGCTATAATCTGCTCACATGCTCCGTGCGTATATCAAATTCGTTTGTTTTTGTAAACCTGATCCAAATGGGATGTTGTAACTTACCATTATTCTTTGTTCCAAACTCCAATAACAACCAGAGACTCACTTCTGTATTCTATGTAATTTTAACTCAAGAAAGTTAAGAATAACTTTCATAATTAGACGCCACGAGATTCCATCGCTGTGCCTTCTCACGTGACATAATTACGATACAAAGTCGACCACTGTCCTGAAGATTAGTGTCAAATACAGGCGGTCACGTTGTACTTGTCTGGACAAAAGCTGGACAGCTGTCGTGTTCAGACATCGGTCCCCGTGGGACAAGGAAGGCGTAATATTTCCCAGCTGTAAGATGTTTCCAGTTGATTTAAACTTTACTCCATCCATTCGAAAAATAGAATTATTGGGCCTCCTAAGTTCAGATCTATTCTTGATCATGTCAAGGATTGTTATGAGCCTTGTCAATATTTAATTTGATCACCTCTTTGTGATAATCTGAATTGTACCATCTATCATTATCATATTCAAATCATGTTCAACACTGAAACTTATACAACGAGGCGTTAATTTGGTGCAAAGATGTCAGATTGCTTTTATTTACACGTCGTACGCGCTAACTACACATCTTCAGTTCAACTCCATTAATGCACAAAAGATAGGAAATGAAAGTAATCGGTGAAGTTTTATTTATTTTTTACATCATTACGACTGCCCCTCTAACACCCCCTCCACCCCCCCCCCTCTCTCTCTCTCTCTCTCTCTCCCTCTCTCTCTCTCTCTCTCTCTCTCTCTCTCTCTCTCTCTCCTCTCTCTCTCTCTCTCTCTCTCTCTCTCTCTCTCTCTCTCTCTCTCTCTCTCTCTCTCTCTCTCTCTCTCTCTCTCTCTCTCTCTCTCTCTGTTAATCATCGAGACATTGCAGCATGAATGTGAGAACTAACACGTGACATATCCATTATGTGACATATATGGTCATTGATATGCCAGCAAACATTGGTTTCATTGTTTCAACACAAATGGTATTCTTCTGAAGATTTGTCCAACAAGTTTGTTATGGAATTTTAGTCATGTTAGGATATCTCAGGTGCAACTGCACAAAGTAAACATATAATTTAAAGTCAAATATAAGCCGAATGGAATTCACTTCCTGTTAGACTGAAAGTCTGCATCTGCCTTACAGTAGAATCTGACAGAAGATCAGCTTAAACGTTAAAAAACCCTGGGAGACATTAGGTGTCTGTGTCAGCTTGTTTCATCCATAGTCCGAAACACCTATGTAAATAGCTGATTGTTAGCTCAATAAGTTCTCAATCTGAAGCTTTGACAACTTATTATATTATTTTATATTCTTGCTGGGCGTTTTAATGGGTACAGTTAAACAATATACGTTTTAGACATTTTTGAAACATGACTAGCTGTGTTGTAGAAAATAGTTGTGTACTCGATCTGTTCTAAAGACATGTTATATTTGGATGGAATACTTAAAACTCGTGGAACTTTTGCAACGAATTGTATTTTTTTCTTGGTTTTATAAACCAAGTTAGGATGTTACAGGGCCCGTTTTATTGACAGATAGAGGCTGGTGCGCCATTATGAATGTTTGATTATTTGTGGTTTATCAATGAATTTGTTCAAATTAGCCAATGTTCAGGAAATCACAGATATCTGGTTCAACGGTTGTCGAGAACATGTCGCGATAGACCGAATATTTCTCTCTCTAAAAAGAGAAATTAATGTCAATATTTACATTTATTATTCTGTTATTGATATCAACATTTCTTTAATCATTATCCTCATTTTTTTAGGTATAAGCCCAGCAAATTAACCGAATGTTAGATTGTCCGATTTGTCGTTTTGAAGGGATATGTTACTTCATCCGTGTACAAAAATATTTGAAGATTGTGTCGTCTCTCTTAATGAATCAAACAGATATAACTCTGATCTACAAGAGTTATTTCCCTTCGTGTTCATTTACGGTATGAAATTTGCCAGTTTTCGACTAGATGATAATCTTTTTATTTTAAACTACAATTTTGATGGTGTGAGGCATATATTTTCAGATCAGTAACATTTTCTAGAAATGTCTTATTGTTTGACTGCTGAGTTTTTGGCCCTGGATTTTAGTACCTTGTATTTCACGATTGTTCTTACAAGAGACATATATATATATATAACTATCTCAGTTGTCCTACCATTTCCTAGGACATAGTGGATCGTCGTTCTTAATTTCTAGTAAATATCCTTCTTTTACCCTATTTGTGCTTATTTAACAAATTTACTGGGAAAATTGCTTACAGGCAGCTATGTAAAATTTGAATAGTCCTTTTTTGCTTTATTTCCTTAAATACTCCACACATCTTTCTCCAATTGCATGTTTGTATAAATAAGTTTAGAACAAAATGGCTTCCGGGCAATTTCGTGATTGTCTGGAATGTCAGCAGGGATACAAAATACACAACTATCGTGCAGAAAATTCCATTGTTTAATTAACAAAACATAAAAAGATACTAAGAAAGTTCAGTTTGAAAAAGTTTATTTTTCATAATAGGTCTAAAACAGCAAAATATTGACAAAGACAATCTGAAATTAAGCAAATATGTAAATGTACAAAATGATAAGTATAAATTAATTATGCACAAAAATACAACAAATATATAAAAATGGAGACAGCACCATATCATGAACATACATTAAAATTTAATTTACTTTCAAAGCAAATCAAAGCCGTCAATAAATAACTTGTTTACATATGTCAGACTTAAGTGATGGTCACTGCGTAATTTATTGTCTGTACTGGACACCACGTGGTTCATCAGATAACGGTAGAGATTTTATATTCAATTAACATGAACTTTCATCGAAATGACAAAAATATAACTTTGAAAACACTCGGGATTTAGATAAATATATAGTTTGTAAAACGATATGGCTAATACCTACATGTACTTTTAAGTGAAACTGAAGATAAACATTTCACACAATGTTTTATCATCGAAGTCAAAGACAAGAAAGTTTAAACTTAATTGTATCCAGTTAAAATATAAAGATACGTTATCCTAATAAGGTATCGAACGTAATCTGGATCGGACATCCTCATTTACCAATATACAGTAGGATCAAACACCTTTCTCTACCAATGTACAGTAGGATCAGACGTCTTCCTCTACCAATATACAGTAGGATCAAACACCTTTCTCTACCAATATACAGTAGGATCAAACACCTTTCTCTACCAATATACAGTAGGATCAAACACCTTTCTCTACCAATATACAGTAGGATCAAACATCTTCCTCTACCAATATACAGTAGGATCAGATATCTTCCTCTACCAATATACAGTAGGATCAGACAGAATCCTCTACCAATGTACAGTAGGATCAGACAGCTTTCTCTGCCAATGTACAGTAAGATCAGACAGCTTCCTCTACCAATGTACAGTAGGATCAGACAGCTTTCTCTACCAATGTACAGTAGGATCAGACAGCTTTCTCTGCCAATGTACAGTAAGATCAGACAGCTTCCTCTACCAATGTACAGTAGGATCAGACATCTTCCTCTACCAATGTACAGTAGGATCAGACAGAATCCTCTACCAATATACAGTAGGATCAGACAGCTTTCTCTACCAATATACAGTAGGATCAGACACCTTTCTCTACCAATGTACAGTAGGATCAGACATCTTCCTCTACCAATGTACAGTAGGATCAGACAGAATCCTCTACCAATGTACAGTAGGATCAGACAGCTTCCTCTACCAATATACAGTAGGATCAGACACCTTTCTCTACCAATGTACAGTAGGATCAGACACCTTTCTCTACCAATATACAGTAGGATCAGACACCTTTCTCTACCAATGTACAGTAGGATCAGACACCTTTCTCTACCAATATACAGTAGGATCAGACAGCTTCCTCTACCAATATACAGCGGGCTCAAACATATACAACACACATTTGGAGCGGCATTAGAACGAGAGGATAGATAGAAACAGTGGAAATATGGCTCACGATAACCCTCATTTATCCAGAGTCCCAGAGTCTGCGATGATAGTCAAATCTGTCGTTCCTACACTAAGTCAAAGTAAGGAACGACTTCAGAATGTGAGAATATAATCAAGTTTGTACAAATACATGTGGTTTCCAGGATGCACGTGACCGACTATCGGTTCTATGTGCCGTTTTGCATGGCTACATAACGACTACACTACAACTTCATGTACTACAACACGCTCACAAACACTCTCCTACAAAAAATGTTCACTGTTCTATGACATCCTCCTCAGGTTCAGAGTCCGACATTACCTCCGCTTCCTCTTCCTCTAGAAGGTACAAAAGTTCTTGCGCTAGTGCTGAAATAGCTGGACTACTGTTTTGTAAAGCATGGAGGTTTAACGACTCCCCGTTGCCTATATCTATACTACGGTTGTCTGTACTTCCGTTGGACACAAATTGCGTTATATCTGCTGTCTGTAATGATGTCAAATGCGTGTGTTCAATGCTATTGTCACTTTCCGAAATACCAGAATCGTCTAATGAATGTTCGTGTTGTGATGGTGACGTCATGGCGTCGTCAAATTGATGACGTAAAAGTTGCCCAAAGTCCGGAGATTTCTGATAGTCCTGAAGATGATTGCGTAATCCTACCACAAAGGGATCGTCTATAGACATGTGTTCCACTTCCACCAGGTAGCTGATGGCCTGAGCAGCGCAGTCTCTGTACCCGGCCAGCACCATGCTCGCCTGGTTGTATGGTAATCCAATCATTGCAGGATGCGGGATACCCATCATCGACATGGGGTCATGACCTCCGTGTGACGTCATCGTTTCTGTTGGCATAACCTCAACTGCAAAGACACAAAAAGATGGTCAATTTAAATAAGATGGTAGCAACATAATCATTCTAGTATAACTGGTAATATACATTTAAATGTATGAGCGGATCCTCGCTACCATCCGAATCCTTCTTGAATTAATAAAAACATCCCAAATTCCACTAGCTACATTGTATCCGTATAACAGAATCAGCTAAAATTACTTCTACAAAATTCAAAGTACCTCCGGTATTTGATTGAAAAGCTGTTCAGTTTTCGAGTGTTTTACTCCATCTAGATAAGAAAACGTAACCACACATTGCAGCTGAATATGACCCGGTACGTTTGTATCCGGGTTCTAACCTTGCAGAACCGGAAATCAGATTCTGTCGACACTCCCGTCATTTAAAACCGAAAAAACTTTTTAGAGTATAATATCATAAATCAAATGCAAAGTCAAAATCTAGAAGAAGCAATTAACATCTGTTCAAGTTTTCCTTTTTATGAAAACATCGATAGCGGAACATGCGATAGAGAACGTACATAACGAATTAAACAGTCTCTTTGATGTGTGTTTAGATATTTCTGCATAGTCCTTCAAACTTATAGACAAGATCGAAACGTTTACGATGTTAAATACCAATGTATACCAAGCATTATACGGTGACCCCAACGGGTGCAAAATGTTCTAACGTTTACAGGGTGTGATTTCCTGAATAGCTGCAATAAATGGAAACTGAAGGATATTAACTTTGTGGCTTATTTATCCCACTTCAATCCAGTAACTTCAAACGTTAAATATATACACTGGTATTGTGGATAGCCCTCACAAGTTTCTTTATGCAAGCTAAAGATTTACGGTACAATTTTAACTTGGCATTACATAACGCCAGTGTTGGACTATCAATGCCAATTAATTGCATAAAACACGAATCAGGTGTATAAAGGTCTCCTTGGTGCGTCATAAGCCGACTAGGGTAAGCGTTATACAACTATTTACAAGACACTACATAGATCCTCTTTACTGCTTGTGAGGCTGTGCGTTATAGAATTATTTCCAGCTTGTGACTGTTCGATTTCTTATCATAATGACATGTGATACAGTTTCAGAAAGCAAAATAGAAGAAATGTGCTACAGTTTTCAAATTGCAACCGTTAACTTCTACAAATTCCTTCGTTATATATGACAATGGTTTCGAAGTAGTCAACGATTACACTACCATTTTAATTATTTGGTCTCGATGAATCTCACGTAAACTGTATGGTTAAAGTGTCTGTTCTTACACTATGTGGCCCTTTCTCTCTGACGGTGGGTGCGCCAGAGAGACTGTCGACCTTGATGTTTACAATTGGCTTCACAAATACGCTTTTGGTTTAAAGCAGATGTTCGCCCGTTGCTCGGACAATATAACGTATATACCACAATGGGATGGTTTTGTATACATATTCACACACACAAGGCATCATTTTCGGGTTTACAATCCACTGACGCCCACGTTAAACTGTCCATTGTCGCGTCCGATTCGAAGTATACATTACGTCTCCGGACAATGAGAAACGTTCAAATAAGAATGACAAGTGAAAAGCAAGTAAGGTTTAACGAGGTCGCGGTCAGTCAGGGATAACTTCAGAGGTCAGAGACACTGACCGGATATGGGTCATTACAATAGTGTCACCGAAAGCCAACTCAAGAAGAGCTCACCCTGAACAATAACAAACAGAGATCTACCAGAGGGTGGAGACGCGACATGCAACAATCACAGGATCGTAATCTAGGATTAATACCAGCAGTTGCCAGCCATATAGATTATCTATCTATATATTAGTCAACTGTCGTTTACTGTATAGTACAAAATACAATAATTACGGTGTGACTACAACAGAATCGTATACAGCATCGTCAGTCGTGTGATGTAATACTACGTTATCATAACATCTATTATATTATATTGTGATACCATATCAAAAACTTAATGTTCCAAGACTTCCGTCTCTCTGTTGCCACAACTTCTGACTTCACGAGGAACAGTCACTAATCCGTCAGAGCACTAGCTGGTTTTATTTCCCACAAACACAACATTCCAGCATCAGTGTAACTATCCCTTAATGGCAGTAACGGGGCTGTTAATAACGCTGATCTTGTCTCGTTACCAGAGTCTCTAACATACAGCTACATAACACATACCTCAAATTACACGTTGGTTCTGAGCACAGATTCAATTTAAATCTTCACTGCTTTCAAAACAGTCACGAAATATCTTCCCAAAGTTTAGCACAAATGAGCACATATCCCGATGAATTTAGCTTCGGAACTCCCACACGTGTGCTGTTATGGAAGGCCTGGGGGACGGGAGGGAGAATGCTGTATGAATGGACCCACAGCTGACGCTACTGGCGTTCACATCTGGTTCCCATAAACCTAAAGCTACTCATCATATATGCCAGGGCTAGGGCTGCTGATGACGGCAGCTTCCAGATCAAGCAGGCTGGCACGCTGGTATCGACCAATTACCCAGTACATATCAATGGTAGAAAAAAGCAAGGTGATTGATTTTTTTCCCTTCATTTTTCTGTTAAGGACGCAACAACTATATTGATAATCGTCAGAACGTCCTTCGATCGTGTTGCCTGTCGGCTAGAGTGAACGACGTCACCGGTCGTATAACGGCATGTGTATTGTTTCAGGGTGATTGTGATATTTAACAACAAACCATAAACACAATCTAACCCCATTTTATCAATATCTCTTAATCGATCACGAACTGCAACAGCTGAAATATAGAGGAATGGGTCGTGTGGGAGAAGAAAAAAAACAAATATCGGGGATTTAAATGGTCTTTTCAGTATACCGTGATTGTCTGCTAAAAATCGAGCGTGCGCTCGCTCGTTGCTGTTCAGAACAAAATGTACCTGTGAAGAAAAGCCCAGGTATAACCTATAATTGTCTAGATGAGGCAACAGATGTTCAGGCTGTGGTATTATACAGAAGTCGGTGCCCGTTATATGTCTTACGTAGCTACATATAGCTGAGCAGGTAGAAAGTGACTACAATATACGCGTGTGGTTGCTGAACAGACAATACATTGTAGCAGGCTTCCAGGAGATAAGGATAATACAATGTCTATAGTCACACATACCATTATAAAGAAATATTGATTAAAATTGAACAGCTATAAACAATTGTCATTCTCCTTTTTTGCAATGTAGTACACAAAAGAACGGGAAAATCTATCATTACAAAAAAATGAAGAAAAGTATGTTTTAAAATAAAAAAAGAGTTGATTAGATGCAAACTTCTTACTAAACTTCATCCGGACTTGGATTGCTTTCCACACTGAAGAGGTCTCGGACACTGTCTATAAAATGGGTGTTGTATTCTCTTTATAAATGAACTAATATGTAAATCTCCGATGATTGCAAGTTGATCAAAAGTAAAACATTCATTTGTATGTAGTTGTAAAGTTTCATTGATAACGTGTTAATGATATTGACAGTCACTAGTCACTTTTAAAACATTCGTGAAATCTAGAAACTTTGTGAATACCCAGACGGTGATTATTTACTAGACCTGTAGAATCCTATATCAGTGACCTATTTCAATGATTTATTGACGACAATGTTCAATAGACATGCGATCAAAAATCAGCCTAACCTTTCCTCGTTATTTCCCCATTGCATGTATTAACTGGGAACTGATCACGAGGTCATGTCGGACTGGAAACGTCACACAAATCAAGCTCGACCTCGATCTGTGATCACGATACAGATTACTATCTAACATATACGTGAAGGGATGTTTAGAAAGCTGCAAATATATATGTGTCCAGCCGAGATATACCAAAGACATCTCGCTAACAAGAATCCGTGACATCACATTGTTATGATAAAACAGAAAAATGCGAGGTAGCTGTTTTTATATAGCTAAGTATGTGACGATATCATATAGAATAGTTGTACATAATTTTTGTAAGTTTTTAACTAGTTAATTCATAGCCTGGCAGTAACACAGCGTATCTGTGATAAATTTCAATGTACGAGAAATCGTACATATTCCTGACGAAATATGACATGGGGTCATTTGGTCTCTATTTCTATAAAAGTCTATTTTGGAACACTGAAGTGCATTAATACTCGTATGTTTAAAGTTACATTCATGAATTTGTAAAAGAAACCAAAAACGATCGAAATGATAAGTCATTTGAATGTTATCAGAAGATACATCAGAGAAAAAATGATAACATCCGCCTTTCTAGGTAAACATAGATGTTCATTATCAAAATGTATACGAACCTGGAGAAAATTTCATCCTAAAACTCTCAACGTATGTTATTTTCTGCGATGCTGTGTAAATCCGTGCGGCTATATAGTATACAACTGTTCAGTAGTCAGAGAACTGTAAACATGAACACATGTAGTTTTCCCGTACTACTATACAATAGTCCTGGGGACCAGCTGTTCGCCTCTCTACTTCACTCAACGTCTCAGCTACACACTGCCCTTTCAACGTGTGTACACATCTGTCTACTATCGCATACAAAAACCGGCGGCTTACAACAAAGGCCGTATGGAAAGGGGCCTGCTGCACAGCTGACGGTGTGTGTGAGTAGTCACACGTGTGTGCTGGAATGTCTGTCCCCTTTCCCGTGATAATAGCCCCTAATTTGCAAATACCGTCTCCCAGGAAGCCCGGCCGGGGGCGTCAGTTCCCAAGCGGCTAATCGATACCGCCCAAATTAAAATCGAAATCGTGATCAATATTGGACACCTCGCTCACGACCCTGATGTCGTCAGTGCCATTACGAGATGCATTGGAAAAGTGACGCTCAACGACAAGAAAACTGGATTAAGATACTATACTAGTTACTACGACAATACTAATTGAGCAGCTCTCTTTAATTATTGATTAGAAAATATGCTGTGTTTTTCATGCACTTTAAAAATGTAATAAATGCAATTGTAGATTGCTCAAAACATCTCCAAGTAATTAGGTACCATTTTGAAATTAACACGTCTGTGCGATAATACCGTCGTTCGTAATGAATTAACAGAACGTTTTTCTGGACACCAGTCCCGGAAAAGCTATTAAGTTTTTTTAGTTTTTTTTTAACTTTCTATGTTAACTACACTATCTCTTATGCTGCCAGTTGCTATTACTACACTAAGAAGTCATACATTGTATTTTCCAGTCAACATATACCACCTGAATGACAAAATTTCTCATCTCTATTAGAGAAGCGATTTTAAAACAAATATCTGTGTTTAAGGCACACCTATGATTTTAAATAGCATCAACACAATTTCATAATCTCGGTGAAGGATGAAAAAAACAAAACCATGAATCATTATTTGTATTGAACGTTTTAAAAAGTCATATTTTCCATCGAGGTTATTTAAGTTTTTCATTTAGTCCTATACTTAACTCTATCTGTTATGTATTTTAATATCAAAGTATATTATATAGGCCTTTTTATGCTTTTGAATGAAAACGTAGTTCAACTCTCACATCGGTAGTGTTTTAGCTGTCCAAACGATTCAACATTCACATCGTCAGTACTTTCATGAATATTGCCGAGCCTGATCTGTACTTATTCGCCTAGCAAATGAACTCCCCACACAAAGATGAAAAAGATAGTATTCAATATATATGGCACATCTTGACTTCTGATTTATAATTTCAGCCGAGGAAACAAGGTATCGTTTGAATGGAAACTGGATTAAAGCACTTCAAACGACATTTTTTATTATACTTCACTGTGTTTAGGTGGATACACACAATTACGAGGCCAACAGAGCATGTCAGCTGATTCTCGGTGCATTACGATTAATGTAAACGTGCCCTGTCACCTAAAGATTTAGCACGATCAGCATTAACAAGCTGGAACTAGGGGTATACCTACCGTGACGCACCTGTACATCACACCGGAAATGACGGTAGTTAAAAGTTCATATTCATGAAAAAACTTTTTTTCTATACAAATTGTCACTGTGATAGCAAGATTTACTTTCCTGTATAAATATCACTAGTACAAATATTGGAAATAAACTCCTAGTATGTAACATTTTTAGATATTTCACTGCCCACTAATTACAGGTAAGTAAATGTGTACATTCTCCTTGTCAACAAAACATAACAATGAAGAAATTTATATATATTTATAGTCTCTATAAACTGCATTCCGTACACTATACGTATTGAAACTAGAATTCATTACTTTATCTACGTTATAAGAAGCTCTACTTTCCAGGTTTTATTGTAGATATTGTTACATTACAGTGTTATGACCTCCAGATTGTTATAACTCATTCGCCAATTTAAAGACTATAATCTCTCTTGAAATGTGAATATATGATTTGACCGATTCCTTGTAACCGTAACACACGGTTACAAGGAATCTGTCAAATCTATTGCTGGAGATTAATCGTTCACCAACACACGGTTACAAGGAATCGGTCAAATCTATTGCTGGATTTTCACACATGTCCCCCAAAATAGTATTTAATAGGCACATTTGACCTGGCCTGACATTATCACACCTTCCTGAACATGTTTGGAGTTCCTGACAGATTTGGCACCAAGAGGTGTGATGTACCTGTAGGGGTTAGTCAAGGCAGGTGGCGTTTAGAGGCTGGGCATTTCTGAACAGGTGAAACCAGGTAAGTAGAATGGTCACTCGTCACTCGTATGTCTAGGTAGATTAGTGTCAAATCTGCCAGGAAGAACAAGTGCAGGAACGGCCAGCATGATGACGTAACACCAAACCACAATACAATGACAGCCCCATACTTATCCGTTCTTATCGATAATTGATTCCGATTAGATGGTCACTGTTCAATTAGTGTACAGGTATGTACCGAAATGTCATCTGTCAAGATAATGTTCTTTTAAACGAGTTACACATTTACCACAGACATTAAGTAGGAACCTATTAAATGGTATTACGTTGAGACACGACAGTGTGACATGTAGAAATTTCCAGGATCTTCTCGACACGACACATCTAAAGTAGATTTATGTTTTACAAAGTAGAAAGTGTAACTTCTTGTTTTTTAATTCTTATTCATAACTTGAGTTTTTGGTCAATAAAACTGGATACTTTGGTAAAGCGAAGAAGAAATTGACTAAGTACAAAATTTATTATTAACGATATAAGGAAAAATAAGAAATATTAGCATATCACCAGATCTACAGTCTTGACTTTCTGATACAAAGATTTCACCTGTTATATACGCCAGAGATATGGGAATGTGAAATATCACTCTTCTGGAGACACATAATTTCTAACTTATAATAAGAGTTCTAAACTAAAGTCGATATATATTGTAAAATTATATGGTATATTTAGCATCGGGACGATTTACGTTTAAGTAG